CTGTTCAAAATTTTATATAAATTCTATATTGATTTTATGATTCAGTTTGTAACATATCGAAATATTGGTCAGTTATCCACAAATGTATATATATTAGGGCTCCTAGTTACTTATATTTTATGACTATGTAGCCATGTCCGTCCGTCTTGAAAAATCTAAATCTGAGGTTCGAATAGAAGAAGTTACAGAGTTGTCTTTATCCGCAAATAATCTCTATTGATTAGATTTGTTTGATATTGAAAATTCCAACTATCGGTCACCGATTTCAATTTGCCGTCATACAGTTTAAAGGACCATAACTGGCTTAATAATAGTCCAACGAAGAAATTCGATTATTATATTAACTACCCCCGTATAAGGGGGTTATATAAACAAGTTTTATTCAACTAAAATCTCTCCACCAAATATTATAAAAATCGGTTCCAAATTGAATCCATCTTCCATATAAGGTCCACTTCGGGAAATGACTTCATTACTGACTTCAAAATACCGGTATTGCGATGAAATTATAGACAAAAAACGATATCTACATATAGTAATTCAAATCTCTCTAGCTAATTTTAAGAGGATTGGTCCATAATTGACCCTACACCCCATATAAGGTCCCCTTCAGAAACTAACACTATCAAAATATCCTGATAGCATACCCATAGATTTGTTTGATATTGAAAATTTAAACTATCGGTCACCGATTTCAATTTGCCGTCATACAAGTGTTCTCCCGGAATACAGTTTAAAGGACCATAACTGGCTTAATAATAGTGCAACGATGAAATTCGATTATTATATTAACTACCCCCGTATAAGGGGGTTAAATATAAACAAGTTTTATAACAACTAAAATCTCTCTACCAAATATTATGAAAATCGGTTCAAATTGAATCCATCTTCCCTATAAAGTCCACTTCAGGAAATGACTTTAGTATAGACTTCAAAATACCGGTATAACGAAGAAATTATACACAAAATATATCTACATAGAGTAATTCAAATCTCTCTAGCCAATTTTAAGAGAATTGGTCCATAATTGACCTTACACCCCATATAAGGTCCCCTTCAGAAAATGAAACTAACGCGATCAAAAAACCCGCATAGAGGTAAAATTCCACAGAAACCAGGCCTATGGAAATACAAAAATTTAAGGATCGATTGATCCATAATTGACACTGTCCTTCATACATATATACCCAAATCCGCCAATATATCGATGCAAAAATTTTGGATTATCACAAGTTCAAATTCGGAAAAGTTTGGTCTACAATTGATGGAAGTGATAAGAAAATTTAGCATAAATCTACCAAATTCTATGGAAATTAGTTCATTGGTAGACTTAAACCAATATTAGGTCCGCATTAGACATTCAATTTATAGAGCAAAACTACATAAATTTTGATTCCTTAATAATGTTCGGCTTCATTAAAATGTTTATAATTTATCAAACAAGTTTTAGGTATTTTCAAAGGTTACCACTAAAAAATGCTAAAAAATTCAAATAAAAAGATTTTTTATAAAAATTCATGAATAAAAAATAAACCCAAGTTAATAATAAAATCAACTAAATAAAATGCTATAAATAACAAAATTTAATATTTATATAAGATGCCCCCAAATTGAACAACAAATTTCCTTTAAAAAACTAAAAATAAAAAACAACATTAGTCAACAAATTTTTGCAACAAATAAGATTTAATATAATTAAATAAATTAAAATTAAAAAAACGCAGAATTAAATGCAAAACAACTTTAACAAAACCAAATGAACTTATTAAAATATATATTTAAAAACAAAAATGTCCTCAAAAATTAAAAATATAAATAAATTAATTGATAAATAAATAACAAAAAAATATAGCATAGCATTATAAACCTAAAAAATTAAAAAAAAACTGAACTTTTTTTCCAACAAAAAAAAAAAAACAATTTTTGATAGTAAAAATACTTTAAGTATTTTTTCAAATTTTAATTAAATAAAATTAGCAAAAAAAAATTAAAAACAAAAAACCAACAACTAAATTCTTTTTTTCCAGCTATTTTCATAATTGCAATTATTTTTTAGCATGGCAGATATTTCAAAAAATATTTGAAATATAAAAATAAAACAAAACTCGTAAACAAATTATTAATACACAAAACTAGGCACGAAATAAATAAAATTATTAAGTAACAAAATAAATTTAATATATAAATAGTAAATTAAATTTTTTTATTTAGTTTTATTTGTTGTTCATTTAAACAAAAATAAACCAACAAGTTGTGTAAAATACATTTATTTTAGTTAAAATATTAAATAAAAGAAATGGAAAAGTAAAAAAAAAAAATATATTAATTTTTTTGTTTATTCACAATTTAATTTTCATTCAAAAGGCTTGAAAACCAAAAAGAAAAAAATATATATTTATTCCAAACAAAAACCAAAAAAATATGTTAAAATAATCTTTTTTCAATAAATTGAATTAAAAAAATCTTGTAAACATTTTGGTGTTTTATTTCAAACGTAACCTAAAAGTCCACTATATGGTGAACTAAAGCAACTACAAATTTATATCAAAATTCTACTAGAGAACTATAACCACTTAAATTTCCTACTGAAACTAGAACTTAACTAGAACTGAACTAGAACTGAACTAGAACTGAACTAGAACTGAACTAGAACTGAACTAGAACTGAACTAGAACTGAACTAGAACTGAACTAGAACTGAACTAGAACTGAACTAGAACTGAACTAGAACTGAACTAGAACTGAACTAGAACTGAACTAGAACTGAACTAGAACTGAACTAGAACTGAACTAGAACTGAACTAGAACTGAACTAGAACTGAACTAGAACTGAACTAGAACTGAACTAGAACTGAACTAGAACTGAAAGAACTGAACTAGAACTGAACTAGAACTGAACTAGAACTGAACTAGAACTGAACTAGAACTGAACTAAACTGAACTAGAACTGAACTAGAACTGAACTAGAACTGAACTGAACTGAACTAGAAACTGAACTAGAACTGAACTAGAACTGAACTAGAACTGAACTAGAACTGAACTAGAACTGAACTAGAACTGAACTAGAACTGAACTAGAACTGAACTAGAACTGAACTAGAATGAACTAGAACTAGAACTGAACTAGAACTGAACTAGAACCTGAACTAATGAACTAGAATGACATAGAACTGGAACTAGAACTGACTACTAGAACTGAACTAGACTGAAAACTAGAACGAAAGAATGAACTAGAACTGAACTAGATACGAACTAGAACTGAACTAGACTGAACTAGAACTGAACTAGAAACTGAACTAGAACTGAACTAGACTGAACTAGAACTGAACTAGAACTGAACTAGAACTGAACTAGAACTGAACTAGAACTGAACTAGAACTGAACTAGATAGAACTAGAACGGATAGAACTGAACTAGAACTGAACTAGAACTGAACTAGAACTGAACTAGAACTGAACTATAACTGAACTAGAACTGAACTAGAACTGAACTAGAACTGAACTAGAACTGAACTAGAACTGAACTAGAACTTAACTAGAACTGAACTAGAACTGAACTAGAACTGAACTAGAACTGAACTAGAACTGAACTGAAACTGAACTAGAAACTGAACTAGAACTGAACTAGAAACTGAACTAGAACTGAACTAGAACTGAACTAGAAACTGAACTAGAACTGAACTAGAACTGAACTAGAACTGAACTAGAACTGAACTAGAACTGAACTAGAACTGAACTAGAACTGAACTAGAACTGAACTAGAACTGAACTAGAACTGAACTAGAACTGAACTAGAACTGAACTAGACTGAACTAGAACTGAACTAGAACTGAACTAGAACTGAACTAGAACTGAACTAGAACTGAACTAGAACTGAACTAGAACTGAACTAGAACTGAACTAGAACTGAACTAGAACTGAACTAGAACTGAACTAGAACTGAACTAGAACTGAACTAGAACTGAACTAGAACTGAACTGAACTAGAACTGAACTAGAACTGAACTAGAACTGAACTAGAACTGAACTAGACTGAACTAGAACTGAACTAGAACTGAACTAGAACTGAACTAGAACTGAACTAGAACTGAACTAGAACTGAACTAGAACTGAACTAGAACTGAACTAGAACTGAACTAGAACTGAACTAGAACTGAACTAGAACTGAACTAGAACTGAACTAGAACTGAACTAGAACTGAACTAGAACTGAACTAGAACTGAACTAGAACTGAACTAGAACTGAACTAGAACTGAACTAGAACTGAACTAGAACTGAACTAGAACTGAACTAGAACTGAACTAGAACTGAACTAGAACTGAACTAGAACTGAACTAGAACTGAACTAGAACTGAACTAGAACTGAACTAGAACTGAACTAGAACTGAACTAGAACTGAACTAGAACTGAACTAGAACTGAACTAGAACTGAACTAGAACTGAACTAGAACTGAACTAGAACTGAACTGAACTGAACTAGAACTGAACTAGAACTGAACTAGAACTGAACTAGAACTGAACTAGAACTGAACTAGAACTGAACTAGAACTGAACTAGAACTGAACTAGAACTGAACTAGAACTGAACTAGAACTGAACTAGAACTGAACTAGAACTGAACTAGAACTGAACTAGAACTGAACTAGAACTGAACTAGAACTGAACTAGAACTGAACTAGAACTGAACTAGAACTGAACTAGAACTAGAACTAGAACTGAACTAGAACTGAACTAGAACTGAACTAGAACTGAACTAGAACTGAACTAGAACTGAACTAGAACTGAACTAGAACTGAACTAGAACTGAACTAGAACTAGAACTAGAACTGAACTAGAACTAGAACTGAACTAGAACTAGAACTGAACTAGAACTAAACTAGAACCGAACTCCACCAGAAGATTTTGAAACCTACTGTCATTGAAAACAGTGTGCTCCAGTTCAAAAATATTTGTTAGTCTTTATATCAGATTCTGACAATTAATTATTTTTTTTTTATAAAAAATACATTATATTTAAGACAACTATTTCTTTAAGAATGCAGAAACCGCCTTCTTCCGTTAACTGGTTCTACGTGGAAGCCTACAAAAACATACCCCAAACAACAACACAAGAAATGCTTGAAATGGGTCGAGTAAAAGGACAAAGACAGAAAAGATCTAGCAAAAATCGATTCAATGCCCAGAGGTAAGACCGTTTCCAAAGTTAAATAAAAACTCTGTAAACTAATAATAAATAACGCAAATAAAATAGCCTCCATTTTGTGGTCAATCAAATTAAGCCGCGTATATTGTTGCCTTTAACAACTTCATATAAACGTGACTATGCTCCACCCTATGAAGAGATTCCTAATTCAAGACTTGATAAAGAAAATATACCAGATCACCTATGGAATCGTAAACCGATGAATGATTTTGCTGTGGAACGCATAACTTCCTCAGAATTCAAATTTATGGATGATCATTTGATTGATATAACGCCTGAACGACGGAAAGTTAACTTTTTTAGGCAGTTAAGGTTATTATTTGTATTGAGTTATTTAGTTTAAATTTATATATCCCGATTTTTCTTTATAGAAATCAACATTACCCATTGGTTTAAGTAATCGTTGGGATTTGGATGTTTTTATAAAACGATCGTTCTCTTAAATAAAAATTATGTTTTTATAAAGAAATTTTATATTTGAACAGCTTTTAAATGTTAGATTATAATATATTCAATATATGACGTAGTTACTTGGAAGTATGAACTTCTCATGGACCAGACGTTTGAATATTTTATGGACTATTTAAGATTGAGGCTTTTGACTAGTTTATTGGAAATCTTATTAACTCGTCTATGAACTACTTTACACTATGACTTGGCCCGTTGACAACACAATAGACTAGTCTACTGAAAAGTTTATTAATAATTCAATGGACCTTTCTATCGAAAAGCCTATTTTCCAGTCGATCCAAGTCCACGAACTAATCTACTAACAAGTAGAACTAATCTTCTAACCGGTCTATGGATTAGTCTACTGAAAAGTCTATAGTGTAGTCTATTGAATAGTCGACGGACCACTCTATTGTAAAGTATGTGGTCTAGTCTATTGACAAGTCTATGGACTAATTTACTGACAAGTTTTTGAACTAGTTTATTTACAAGCCTTAGGACCCGTCTATTGACAATTCTTTGGGCTGTTCTATTGACAGTTCTATGGAGCAGTCTAGAAACATGTAGATTGGCAAGTCTTCTGAATAGTTTCCTGACCAGTCTTTTGACAAGCCTGTGGACTAGTCTATAGGGTTCTAAAGTTGAAACGAAAATTCGACTTTTCGACTTTTTTCATTTAGTTAAAAGTCGACTTTTCGACTTTTTGCATTTTATGAAAAGTCGATTTTTCGACTTTTTTCATTTAATTAAAAATCGACTTTTAGACTTTTCGACTATAAGTATTTTATAAATAGTCGACTTTTCGACTCTTTTCGACTTTTTCCGACTTTTCGATATTTTTCGACTATTTGTTGACTTTTTTCGAGTTTTTCCGACTATTTTAGAGTTTTTGACTTCTTTCCATTTTTTTTAAAATTTGGACTATTTTTGAATTTTTCTACAATTTTCGAGTTTTCTGCTTTTCGACTTTTTCCGACTTTTTCCGACTTTTCGACTTTTTTCGACTTTTTACGACTTTTCGACTTTATTCGACTTTTCGACTTTCAGACTTTCAGACTTTTTGACTTTTCGACTTTTATTAACAAAGTCGACTTTTCGACTTTTTTCACAGACGATAGTCGAGTTATCGACTTTTTTGGAACAAAATAGTCGACTTCGACTTTTTTCGACAAAAAGTCGATTGTTCGATTATTCGAAAGTCGATTTATAGAACCCTACTAGTCTATTTTCCAATCTATGGACTTTTGCCACTACTGTAAAAAAGTGCTGCATAATTTATGTTTTACTTGCACAAAAGGTGTGAGTCTTTGCTAAATATAAGTACTTTGCATTAAGGTCTTTGACAAACCCCACTAGAGGGCATTCACACAACAATTTTTATTTCCGTTTGTGTTATATACATATGTAGAATTTTTGACAACATAAAATTCGGCATTTAATTTATTATAATTTAAAGAAAAATTTTTAAGGCTTTGATATCCAAATATTTATAAAGCTTAAATATGAATTTAAGTGAAAATTGGTTTTATACCCACCCCACATTACCAACACCCATATCAGTGACTCATGAAGTTCTCAAAAGTGGACGACAACAAAGCAAGAGCAATAAAAAATTGGCCCGGAAACAGCAAGTAAATTTTAACGTTTATAATTCGAAGAAGTAGGTTTCGAATAGAGCAATTTAATAAACTTTTTGAAAAAGAAAAAAAAAAAAAATTAAAATCTGCTATAATTTTAGATTTGATAATAAAGATGAAAATCTGGAAAAATTGTTCAAAACATCTTCTTATAGTCGAGATTTTTATGTACCTTATGCTTCAGTGTGTCCTCCTAAATCGTCAATTGTTGATGATATAGATCCATTATTTAATCGTAAACCAGTAAATGTATTTCAAATGCTCCCTTGGGCTCCAGGAAAATTTATGGACGATCATTTTTCTCGTCCGACTGCAGAGAGGAAGCGTATAAATTTCTTTAGGCAAATGCGGTAAGTTTTCCATTAATTCATATCCTAACAATTGTAATATGCTCATTATTTTGACTTTTTTTCATTTTGCAGACAAATATCTTATTTAGATAAAACGTATGAATAAAATAAGCTTAATTATACAATAGAAGTGTATAAAATAAAAAATTAAAATACAAAACACGACCTAATAAATAAACCAATTTTTTACCAACTAAAATGTACCTTTGTTGCTTTAAACAATTAAAAAATACCTCTATGTTCTATGAACAGTTTACTTCAAATTGTGACGAATAGTTGTCGATTTCAATATCAACAACAAATGTTTCAAACAACACGAGAGCACTAGCAATTGAACACGAAAATTGCAAAAGAACCAAAACAGCATTTGAATTGAAGTGATGGGGTGTGGTGTATGACTCGATTACAAACTACAACAAATAATCACATGAGCTCTTTATTGCTGCTGTTTGTTGTACATGAGTATCTATGCAGTTGTTGCTGTGTGTGTGTATGACAGTGTTCAGTCTTCAATGAGACCACAAAAAGTGTTTGAATTGGTAACACAAACACAAATGACCGGAAATGAGTATTAAAAGCATCATTCAATCAATACTGACTGACTGACTGACACCCTCAAACGGAAGCTTTCGTATACGTGTAAACGTCCGTACTTATTTGCGTATTCACCTGGACGTAGTTGGTGGAAAGTAACAGTTCGCTTTTGCGTTGTATGTATGTGGCATTTAAGTATTTATGAAGTGAGTTGTTGTCAAACATGAAAACAAATATATATGTAAGTATTCGCACTTTATAAAATTCGTTGATACATTTCATTAAATCTTAAATGAGATTTTAATTGGCTACAAGGCTGACGAATAATTGTTAACGAATTATAATGTTCTGTTCATGGCAAATATTTTACTGGTATTAAAATTTTAATTAGTTAGCTTAAGATGGCACAAAAATCATTTTTGTTTTTATAAAAATAATTAGAGCGGAAAATTAAATACTAAAATGTTTAAAGAGTGCTGAAAAGATTACTATAATTTAGTCTTTAGACTAGTAGTCTAATCAATAGTCTAGTCTAAAATCTAGTCTATATCTATTCTGAAGTCTAGTCCATAGTTAATTTTATAGTATATTCTATATTCCAGTCCATAGTCTAGTCTGTCTATAGTCTAGTCTATAGTCTAGTCTATAGTCTAGTCTATAGTCTAGTCTATAGTCTAGTCTATAGTCTAGTCTATAGTCTAGTCTATAGTCTAGTCTATAGTCTAGTCTATAGTCTAGTCTATAGTCTAGTCTAGTCTAGTCTTATAGTCTAGTCTATAGTCTAGTCTATAGTCTAGTCTATAGTCTAGTCTATAGTCTAGTCTAGTCTAGTCTATAGTCTAGTCTATAGTCTAGTCTATAGTCTAGTCTATAGTCTAGTCTATAGTCTAGTCTATAGTCTTAGTCTATAGTCTAGTCTATAGTCTAGTCTATAGCTAGTCTATAGTCTAGTCTATAGTCTAGTCTATAGTCTAGTCTATAGTCTAGTCTATAGTCTAGTCTATAGTCTAGTCTATAGTCTAGTCTATAGTCTAGTCTATAGTCTAGTCTATAGTCTAGTCTATAGTCTAGTCTATAGTCTAGTCTATAGTCTAGTCTATAGTCTAGTCTATTAGTCTAGTCTATAGTCTAGTCTATAGTCTAGTCTATAGTCTAGTCTATATAGTCTAGTCTATAGTCTCGTCTATAGTCTAGTCTATAGTCTAGTCTATAGTCTAGTCTATAGTCTAGTCTATCAGTCTGAGTCTATAGTCTAGTCTATAGTCTAGTCTATAGTCTAGTCTATAGTCTAGTCTATAGTTAGTCTATAGTCTAGTCTATAGTCTAGTCTATAGTCTTAGTATAGGTCTAGTCTATAGTCTAGTCTATAGTCTAGTCTATAGTCTAGTCTATAGTCTAGTCTATAGTCTAGTCTATAGTCTAGTCTATAGTCTAGTCTATAGTCTAGTCTATAGTCTAGTCTATAGTCTAGTCTATAGTCTAGTCTATAGTCTAGTCTATAGTCTAGTCTATAGTCTAGTCTATAGTCTAGTCTATAGTCTAGTCTATAGTCTAGTCTATAGTCTAGTCTATAGTCTAGTCTATAGTCTAGTCTTAGTCTATCTTAGTCTAGTCTATAGTCTAGTCTATAGTCTAGTCTCTAGTTCTAGTCTATAGTCTAGTCTATAGTCTAGTCTATAGTCTAGTCTATAGTCTAGTCTATAGTCTAGTCTATAGTCTAGTCTATAGTCTAGTCTATAGTCTAGTCTATAGTCTAGTCTATAGTCTAGTCTATAGTCTAGTCTATCGTCTAGTCTATAGTCTAGTCTATAGTCTAGTCTATAGTCTAGTCTATAGTCTAGTCTATAGTCTAGTCTATAGTCTAGTCTATAGTCTAGTCTATAGTCTAAGTCTATAGTCTAGTCTATAGTCTAGTCTATAGTCTAGTCTATAGTCTAGTCTATAGTCTAGTCTATAGTCTAGTCTATAGTCTAGTCTATAGTCTAGTATAGTCTAGTCTATAGTTAGTCTTAGTCTAGTCTATAGTCTAGTCATAGTCTAGTCTGTAGTCTAGTCTATAGTCTAGTCTAAAGTATATTCTGTAGTCTATAGCATAATCTGTTAACTAGTCTGTAGTCTAGTATGTAATTTGGTCTACAGTCTAGTCTATTTTCCGAGTCAAGACATTAATATTACCTGCGGCGTTTAGTTAAAAGGAAACTTTTTAGAAAACATTCTAAACCTTGTGCGAAAATAAATATACGAAAAAAAAGCGATTCAGTTAATTGTCACTAAGAATTTTATAAAAATTCCATTGTTACTTGCATTTCTTTTTCTGTGTACATTCGCATTACACTTACAACTGTAAATTCAACCTTTAACTATAAAGTCGTAAAATACATTTAAGACACCCACGCTATAACCAACAGTATATACGCCACCCCTGAAATAAACACACATTGTCAATGACTACCGGAAATGAAGACCATAGAGAAATAACCGCGTATACAGGCTGCCTGGGGTTTTGGAGAATTGTGGCTGGATCCCATAACGAGCACGCGTAAATGGTTACACATGGTATTGTGTTAGAAACTGCAAGTTGGAATAGAAGAACACCATTTACGTAGATGTAAATGAAAGTTTTAGATAGATAATGCCTTTAATATATTGCTGCTGGATTGTTAAATAATTTCCAACCTTTTTTTGTTGATGGTGTAGAATTAGTGCTGAACCATTATTGCAACGACTGCTATATTGATGTGTTCACAAATAAAAACCTACAAAACAAAATGTGTGTTCGGTCGTAAACAAAATTTGGTCAACGGGTATCAATGGGTGCACATGAATGTTTGTAAAGGGGTTTTTTGGTTGTCGGTGTATCTGTTTCGTCTGTCCCTTTTTTTGTGGGAGACTTTTCCCTGTCTGTCTTTGTGTTTTTGTAGTAAATAAAAATTAACGTTTGCAAGCAATTTTCAGCGTGTACATGTTAAAGCTTCTATGAGCGAAGATGAGAAGTTTTAAACGCGTTACAATTTAAAACATTGGCGCCATAGTTGTAAAACAAATATAGAATTAAGAATGTATGTTTAGGCTTAAACTACCGTTCGATAATATCCGACTGCAGTAATTTTGAAAGCGCTCTTTTCTGTAAGCTGCCGGACTACCGAGAATATATTGAGTTGACTAGCAGTATTCTTGAATTTACTTACATCATTCTTAATTCTAGATTTGTGAATGTTTGAGAGATTTTCAGAAGAAGGTCTTCTTTGAATAATTATTTTGATAGTGAGTTTTTTTTTTGCTATAGAAACAATCCCTGTCGGAGTAACAAATATTATCACAAACGAATAATATCCTCCACCTCAATAGTAGTGTTACAATATTTATGTGTAAAAGTTGAGCCATTTACCAAAACTGTGACTGCAACACCAATAGCAACAACATCAATCCATGCAACGACCGTCCAGCAACAACCATTACCACATACTCGCACATTTGGTTGCCAATTTTCGTTGTCGTTTTGGTAATGTTGTTGCTGCTGCCGCTGCTATACCATGTTGTTGTTTAGTGTTGTTCGTTTGTATTTAGAATATCGCCAACATGTACAATTTGATACCGCAAAAACCAATGACTTTAAATTACAAGCACTCTGTGTATGGATTTTTTTCTCAATGTTGTTTTTTTATTTTTTTTTTCTGGAAATATTTTTCAAAATTACAAAGTGGCCTGCATAGAGAAACCACTTGTACTATTTAGTTTTGTAATTGCAGTTGCATGTTGTATTAATACCCTACATCGCTATCGAATGGGAAGAGTAATATGTATTTGTTTGTGCTAATGTCTGTTACATTAAAAAATGATAGATGCGACTATTTATTTTTCTATTGCCATAGAGTTAAACATTATATTCTAACTGAATCTACTGAGCTGACCCCTTGGATTCGTTTCTTTGATTCCCTGATAGACTTGTATACTATCACCTAGTCTACCGAGCACCCTTTTTATGACTATTTAATGATTGATGACTATTTCGTATAATAACTCTTGTTTTATTTGTGGTTCTGTCTATTATCGACCCAGGTTAGGTTAGGTTAGGTTACGTGGGTTGCCTGGGGTTGCCTTGTAGACCATTGTGATACCCTCAGAATTACCATTCCCTAGCATTGAGAGAATGTTTTCCCTCCCTAACTTCGTTGACTACTTGGTTCGTTCGGTCTCCGTGACAACCAGCCGGTAATTCTAATAAAACCGATCATATATATTAGTGACTCGTCCGAGTTTCATCGGAGACCTTGTGACCCATTGTGATACCCTTAGAATTACCATTCCCTAGCATTGAGAGAATGGTTTGCCTCCCTAATTTCGTTGACTACTTGGTTCGTTCGGTCTCCGTGGAAACCAGACGGGTACTTCTAATAAAACCGATCATATTTATTAGTGACGCATCTCTGAAACAGTCTAGATCATGGAAAAGAGCTCTACTAAGATAGAATAGTCTTTGCTCTTGTAAGGTGTTGTACCGATTCTACTTCTTCCTCATCCAAGCAGCTTCTATAGTAGCTATAGCTTGGGGATTTCGACATATGTCCAATCATACAATGCCCAGTAATTATACCAGTTAGAAGCTTAATCGAGTTCTTACTAAGAGGCAAGAGAGTCCTAGTCCTATCTATTGTCAGAGTGGGCCAGAGCAGTCCCAATATTCTACAAGTGGTGATATTTAACCACCTTAGTTCCGT